GGCAAAGGCAGGCAGCACTTGAAAGGAGCAGCCACACGAGCAATGTCTGCGATCCAACTCATCCAGGAAAAACAAACCCGCTGACCCCCCGCTCACACCGCCGCCTTTCCCAGCCCTTCTTCCCGCAAAGTTCATTCTCCAAGCATCCCTCAGCTCACAGGCTTCTGCCCTGAGCTGCCCGCATTGATTTTGGGTCTGGACAGACACCCCTGGGGCCAGCGTGGCCGGAGCAGGTGAGCCCAGCAGGGCTGACAAATGTGCTGGCAGCAGGAGCCAGCAGGCTGTCCCACCTGCCTGGCTCGGCTTTTTGGGCAGTCCGTGGTAATTAACACATCCTCCCTGGCAGCGAGGTGTTGTTAATGAGCGCAGACAAGTAAATTTTAGAATTTCTTAATTATTCCTAATTGAGCGCGGGGAGGGAAGGGGGAAAAAAAAGAGTTGGGAATTTTGGGAGGGTGGAGGAGGAGCTGTGCACACACCCCAGGGGCACAGCCCTTCCTGCAGGGGATGCTGTGCCCATCCCAGCTCCTCTCTGCCCCAGCCCATGGGCTCAGCATGAGGAGGAGCCCACAAGAGAGGATTTTGGACACCTCTGGTGGGATCCAGCCGAGCCCTTCTCCCCGTGCCAGTGTTCAATGTTTGCTGAGATTATGTCCAGCTAACTGCCTGTCCAACTAGCAGATAATGTAGTTCAAAATTTAATCAGTTCATTTTTTCCCTCATGATGACTCCAACCCTTTTATCCACATCTCGTGCATTTTTTTTTGTGTTTTCTCAGTTCTCTTCAGGACAGCATCACTATTTACAGCCCTGCTGCTCCAGGACTGATGGGCTCCCCTGTTTTTCTCAGCTCTCACTCCAATCCAGCCTCTCCTAAATCATCTGGGCAGCTCCTGTCTGCCTCCCTCAACATGCAGAAAGTTCAGCCCAAAGCAAAGCAGTTTGCACAGGACTGAAACCTCTCGGGGTTACAGGACAGGGGAATGCACAACAAATCATCCCTGGAGAGCTGCAGCTCCTGGCACAGGGGCACTTGCAAAGCAAATATTTCACTGCTCCCAGAGCAGACTGAAAGACAATTTCTTTACCTAAAGCCACGGTGATGGATGTGGAGGGGGAGGTGGAAAAAAGCAACAGGTCTGGGAATAAACGAGGAGGAGCTGTGGCTGCCCCATCCCTGCAGAGCTCAAAGCCAGTTTGGATGGGCTTGGAGCAACCTGGGGTGGAATGAGATGAGATCTAAGGTCCCTCCCAAGCCAAACCGTTCTGTGGTTCTCTGATTCCATCAAAGAACACAAACCCGTGCCCTCCAAAGCCCCAGTGGGCACATGCAGCACTGCCAGGAGCAGCAGGGGCTCCCTCAGAGCTCTGCTGTGCTCCTTGGCATTCTCAGGGTGGTTCTGGGCTCTTCTCTGTGCCTGGGGAATGCTGAGGCTCCCAGCCAGAGCAGGAGGCTGCTCTGCTCCCCTCCCCAGAAAAGCAGAGGGCAATCCTGAATGAGCCATGGTGTGAGCCCAGCTGGGCTGGGGGCAGCTCCCGAGCCCCTGAAAGGTGCAGGAATTGTGGGGGATGTTTCTGCAAGGTGAATTTTGCACTTACAGCACCCTGGGGAGGAAGGTGCTGCTGTTCCCCCAGCACCCCACCCAGGGGTTTCACCTGAGGAGCACCAACAGCTGAGGGATCAAGAGCTGGGAAATAAGGAAGGGAAAATTCCTGTTGGCACGGTTGTTTTCAGGCAGCGAGGGCAGAGGGAGAGCCTGCTCAGCACCAGCTCCTCTGCCCTGCAGCTCCCACCTGCCAGGAGCCCCTGAAGCACGGGCTGGGGTGGGAAGGGCCCTCCTGGGATGTTTTCCTCACCACTAACACCAGCATCTTCCTTCCAGCCAGCATTTCCATCCTGCTGATTTACATTCCACGTCTGCAGCCCTTGATTAGGTGGTGAAATCTTTTGGAGCCAGCAATCCCTGCCCTGGGTTTGATTGAGCTCCTCTCACTCCTGCCTTAAAAATAGCCAAATTCCTTCTTCTGTCAGGAGCTGTGAAAATCTTTGGCCCCAGTTTTGCTGATGCTTACATAATGCCCACAGCCCTGCCAGGCTGGGCTGGGCTGCCTGGGGGAGCAGAGGGGGCTCCTGCAGCCTTGGGGCCATCAAAGCACCCTTGTCCCACAGGATTGATGGAGCTGGAGCTTCCAGACACTGAGCAAACCCAAGTGCCTCGCTGACACGCAGACAGTGAATGCTCCTGGGCTGAATTACAGAGCCACTTCTCAGCACCAGCAGCCCTTCCCTCTGGGAGGGGGAAAGCAGAGATTTTCTGCACGTGCAGGGGTTGTTGGTGTGGGCTCTGTGACAGACTCTGACAAAACAGGAATTTTTAAATCAGGGGGTGTTGGTGGCCCCACATTTGCCAGACATTGCCATTAACCCTTCACCTGCTGTTTGAGCAGCCCTGGGTGCACCCCACGTCTCACCAGTGAAGCAGCAATGTGACCAATTCCACGTCAATATTTTATTTTTTGTGTGTTTTTTGTGGTTTTTTCTGCCTGATAGAAGCTGTTAATTGAATTTGTCTGTGAAAAATGAGGCAGCTCACACTGGGCAGTGGCTGAGAAGAGCCAGTCTCCCCTCACTGTGACCCTGCTGGTCCCCCCACCACAGAACCCATGCTGAATTTGGGGACAGGACCCAAAAATTGCGATGTTGGAGAGAGTAACTCTGCCAGCACCCACCAGCCCCAGTGCTATTCCCACCCTGGAACCCCACAAAGGTCCTGCAATGCCACCCATCTCCATCATCTCCATCATCTCCATCATCACCATCTCCATCTCCATCCAGCTCTCCCTGAGCCTTGCTCAGCCTGTCTGCAGAAATGGACTCTTTGTTTGCTCCCCCAACACTGAGAAATGAATTCCTGCTTTAAATAGTGTCAGAACCACTTCTCCTTTCCCCTCTGAGTGTTTGAAAGCAGGTGCTGTGTGAAAGGAACCTGAAAGCTCCTAATAACCGCCCTTAAACCAAGTGGTTCAAGAGCTCCCAGTGCCTGGAAGCAAAGTTTCTTTATTCCTCTCTCCCCCAGATTGGGCTGTGCAACTGTTGCTTCTGTGCTTTGTGGGAGTGAAATCAAATGTCAAATATTCTGCTTTGGAAGGAGTTGGCAGCGAGACATGAAAGGCTCAGGGAGAGCTCAAAAAAAGAGGGAGGAAAAAACTGGAGCAAAGCACAGACAGGGCTGGGACAGGAGCCAGGGGATGGGGAAGGGCTGTGCCTGCAGCCACAGCTCCAGAGCTGAGCAGGGAGAGGCTCTTTTCCCTGCAGTTCTGCACAAAGCTGGTCCTGGCTGCTGCCTGCACAGAAGGGAGCTGGGCTCCGTGCCGAGGAGCTCCCTCCATCCTTTGTGGGAAGCATCCCCACTGCTCCATTCCCCACAACTCCATCCCCACAGCTCCATCCCCAGAACTCCATCCCCACAACCCATCCCCACAGCCCATCCCCACAGCCCCACAACCCATCCCCACAGCCCCACAGCCCATCCCCACAGCCCCGGGGCTGCCCCCAGAGCCCATCCCAGGGCTGTTCCAGGGCTGTCCCAGGGCTGTCCCCATGCTCAGAGGGGCTCAGAAGGTGCCAGCAGCTATTGGGGAGCACCTTCCCCAGGAGAGTTCCACAAACCCCAGCACCTTCCCCAGGAGAATTCCACCCCCCCAGCCATTCTCGAGGGCTGTGGTGGACACAGGCACTGGCCTGGCTCTGTCTCAGACATCAAACCCCAGCTCTGGGCAATGCTCCCCCCACGTTAACTGCTAGGAGCAGCTGCTCCCTGTGGCATTCTGCTGTGGCAAATTTCGGTTTGTCCTCCATTTCCAGCCTTCAGAGGCTGTTTTTTGCTGTATGTTCTCAGTCCTTCTGAGGGCACCTCCCACCATTTGCAGCCTCAGCCCTCTGGACCTCCCTCCTCCTCTTGCTGCTGACCCCTTTTCAATCATCAGCCTCCTTTATAGAGAACCAGGGAAAAATCTCTTCTTGGCTGCACTTTGCTGGCCTACCACATTGCAGGATGGGGGCACTGGGGTCACAGGAGCTGACAGGATCCATATGCATCAGGTGCTGGGATTTTGGGACCCAGAGCACGCATTGCTGCAAGGGCAGCAGGCAAATCCTGTGGCAAACCCTGCAAGGAATGAGAAGCAACAGCCCCCAGCTCCCGGAGTCTCCCCAAGGCAGAGCCGTGGCTGAAAATGGAATTAATGTTCCAGGAATATTCTATTATTTGCTAATTCTCTTCACATCTTTTTGTTTCACAATTAAGCAAATTAGTGCTTTGATGAATATTAAGACGCTCTTGCCTCATGAAAGATGAGTTAGAGGCATTCCCCCTGGACTCTGCTCCTAATGAAAACAGTTCCTCAACTGTTTGAGAGCCACACTGGGTCCTTTCCTCCCTGCTGGGAGCATGGGCAGCACGTGGCTCCTGCACAAAGTGACCAAGCATTAACATTTGAATTAAATAATTCAATTGCAAAGTTTGCACAGATCCTCATTACTGCCATCTAATCCCAGCCCGAGCTGGATGGGATCTGAGATTGTGGCAGCTCATGCAAGTGTCTGTCCCTGAGTGGCTCCAACAAGCACAAAATGCCTTCCTCGGCCTTGGGGATTCACTCACTCCAGACTTTCAGCAGGGAGAAGACTTTGCCCTCTTCTCAAACATTTCTTCCCTGCTTTCAGATGACTTTATAACCAAGGAACCCCTGCAGCTCAGGACCGAGGCAGGAGCGGCTCAGAGCCCCAAACCAGCTCAGCTCCCATCACCTCCAGCCAGGAACAAGCAGCTTCATCTCTCCCCCCAGCCCTGATGCCAACCTCTGCTCGGGGGCAGAACAACCCCAGCTCCTCCTGGCGCTCCAAGCCCTGTCCCCATCCAGCACCTCGGGTGCTCCAGAGCACGCTGCAGAGGGGAGGGAGCTGGCATCCCCGGGCAGGGCAGGGCAGCAGCACTCACCTGGCGCTCGGACATGACGTACAGGAACTTGTGGTCGGTGGAGAAGGCCATGTCCCTCAGCACAGGGCTGCCGTCCTTGAACACCGGCACCACCTCGTACTGGATCCCGCCCTGGGGCGGCCCGTCCGCCCGGATCTGCAGCAGAAAACACGCACAGGTCAGAGCTCGCAGCTGCCAAATTCTGCCTTTGTTTTGGGGGATGGAGGGCAAGGGGTTAGGAGAAGGTAGGAAAAGGAATGAATCCAAAAACCGCAGCTCCGAACTGCAGACAGAGCAGAGGCAGCGGTGGGAGCAGGAGCTGGAGCAAAGGTTCTGTCTCCACTGCAGCCAGTGTGATTTCTCCAGTCCAGGAGAAATAATGAGAGAGTTTTGTGGTTGCAAGGCGAGCACAGAGTCTGCCAGTGAGCCATGACTGACCATCGAGGGAGAAGGAAAATTGTAAACTTTTAAGATTCTCTCTAAAATAAACCTGAAAGGAAACCACAAAACTCTACAGCCAACAGCAAAGCCAAGATACTGCAGAGGTATTTTTTAATTCTGTAGACACCTATAGAATGACACTTGGATAATCTCCATCACCTCTTCCTGCCACGGAACCCTCCTGGAGCATCATCCCTGCTTAAAACCTGGAGATGCTGCTGCCACTTTCCTGTCTGCAGGATCCAGTGATCCTGGCCCTGGGAATCCTCTCAGGAGCCCCTCTGGCACAGCTCCACACGGTCCAAGCATCCCTCCATCCCTCCAAAACACCTCCCTGCTCCCGCAGGACAACCTGCCCGGGCTGTGACCAGCCCCATCCCTGCCAGCAGCCGCAGGCGAAGAGGAAACGCCAAGTTAATAATTGATGGCCTCGGGGAGTGGAGCGGGATAAACAAACTCTTCACATTGTCTTTCCCAGCAGGATCTGCGTGTTTGGAGAGCCGCGGGATGGGAACGCGGCAGCGACAGCGCTGCTGGGCCGGGGATGAGCCGGGAACTGCCGGGGATGAGCCGGGATGTGCTGGGAATGAGCCGGGAATTGCCGGGAATTGCTGGGAATGAGCCGGGATGTGCTGGGAATGAGCCGGGAATTGCCGGGAATTGCTGGGAATGAGCCGGGAATTGCCGGGAACGTGCTGGGGATGAACCGGGAATTGCCAGGATGTGCCGGGAATTGCCGGGAATGAGCTGGGAACTGCCGGGAATTGCCGAGATGTATCGGGAATGTACCAGGAATTGCCAGGAATGAGCCGGGAATTGCCAGGATGTGCCAGGATATGCTGGGAATGAGCCGGGAATTGCCGGGATGTGCCGGGAATTGCCAGGAATGAGCCGGGAATTGCCAGGAATGAGCTGGGAATTGCCAGGATGTGCCGGGATATGCTGGGAATGAGCCGGGAATTGCCAGGAATGAGCTGGGAATTGCCAGGATGTGCCGGGATATGCTGGGAATGAGCCGGGAATTGCCGGGATGCGCCTGCTGCCCATCCAGGAGCGGGAACGCGGCTCTAGGATAACCCCTTATCCCAGAGATGCCACCCCAGCTGGAAATACCGGGAGATCTCCACACTGGGAGAGCAGAGCTGTTCCCCTGCACCCTCTCCGAATAAATCCTCCCCTTGGAAGGAGCCCCGGTGCCTCCTGCCATGTACAGACATGTTGGGCACGCACAAACACATTTATTTTCTGGATTTCTCTCTTTTCCCCTTTACATGTTGGGCACACACAAACACATTTATTTTCTGGATTTCTCTCTTTTCCCCTTTACATGTTGGGCACACACAAACACATTTATTTTCTGGATTTCTCTCTTTTCCCCTTTTCCTCCCGAGTGTTCAGTGCTATAAAAGAACATCAGGTGGGAATGTGAGTGGTCTGTTGAACAGCCACAGTCAGGCACAGGAGCCTCTGGCAGGATTAAGCTGCCAGCCCAAGCCTGCCTCGAAAGCCCTGAATTTCCAGAAAGCGAAATCCGCCAAAAGGCAGAAGGTCAAATCCTGCTTTAATCCCACCTGTGAGAATTAGGATCGCCACAGCCCCCGTGAAACACCAAGAATTAGAGGCAGATCCACACCAGTATGAGCCCAGTTCCTTACTGGGCGCTGCCACCTGAGTCCCCCCCGCTGCTGTGGGAGCCACCAGCCTGCAGCAGGGACAGAAATCACCCGAGGAAAAAGGAGCAGGAGCGCGGGGCTGTCAGGGCTCCACTGCCAGCACCACGTCTGATTAATGGCCAGACGGGAATGGGAGCGCCGGACATGAAGGATCAGCAGCCTTTGTGAAAAACAACTGTTTTCCAGAGTTCCCTCAGGGCACCGGCAGCTCGTTAAATTGAGCTTCTTTCTAGTAATGAGGTCAGACAGGGCTAATAAAGAGAGATACCACTGGACAAGCCTGGTGCAGACCAATTCCAACTGGGAATTGCAGCTCTGGGCTGGAGGCAGCGCCGAATGCCCGGCGGCTCCTCCAGCCCGGCTCAGGGTTTGGGGCTGTGCCTGGAACGGGAGCCTGGAATGGCCTCGGTGCCCGGAACGGGAGATTTGGGGCACAGCTCGGGGTGCTGGGCACTGCCTGTGCCCTGCTGTCCCCACGGGGAGCAGCCCTGGGGCTCTCAGGGACTCTGTCACCGTGAGGTGGCTCAGCGCACACGACAAGGGGACAGCAGAGCCCCCTGCCCCCCTCCCTGGGTGGGTGTTGAGCCCCCGGAGCCCCCTGCCCACAGCCCAGGCCGAGGGGCACCCACTGACACCAGGATGCTCCGCTGCATCTCTTGCTCAGGGCTCGGTTTCCATGGCAACAAATGATGATGTCAGAGAAGAGCGATGATTCCTGTGGCCGAGGAAGAAGAAAGGGATCATCTCACGCAGCAGGAAGCTTCTTGTTGACGTTTTGGAGAGGGAAATGATTCCTCTGCTTCACGGACGGGCGCCCTCCCGGGGCCTGACAACTCCTGGGCTGTCCCTGGAGCAGGGGTGGGACCAGCCCTGCACCTCCGGGCTCATCCCTGATCCAGGGCTCGTCTGGCACGGCCCTGGGAGAGAGGGGAGCACAGGGACGGGGCTGGGCTCCAGGGGCCCTGTTTGCTTCTGTCCCCTGCCTGTCCCCTCTCCTGACAGCGTGATGGGCATGGGAAGGGTTCAGGAGAGGGAAGCAGGATGGGGATGGGTGGAGCACAGGTGTGGGGAGAGGCACCTGAGCGAGCTGGAAATCGGGATCAGAGGGACAGCAGAGCCAGGAGGATACACCATGGGCTGCCACAGTTGGGCAGGAACCTGAGGAGCTGCCCGGGCCACATCCAGCCCTTCCCTCGCGCTGCATGTTTACAAATATCTCCTGGAAAGTGCCTAATGACATAATCTGCAAATCCGAGCTCATCCCCGCTGGCAGGGCCACCGGCAGCCCCGCTGGAGGAGCGGGGTGTGCTGGGTGCAGGGAGCTGCAGCCCTGCAGAGCCGGGCTCACACTGAGCTCTCTAATACCCCCACAATGCAGCTGCAGGCTAAACCGGGCTTTATCACCAGAGATTAGCAAAACTCCACATTGTGGCAGCGGGATGTGGCCGTGTAGGAGCCACTCAGGGATCTAATCTGACATGAAGCTCCAGCACACCTCGTGCAGGAGGTGCCCTGGGGTGCTGTGCCCGGGCAGTGCCAGTGCTGGGATATCTCTGCCTTCCCTCCCAGCAGGCTCCCATTAGCAGACACCGAATCTCTTCGAAGGAACTTTCCGTGATTAAATTACCTGTCTGTTTTCATTAGGGGTGTTTCCACCAGGCTGACTCATGATGGAATTCCTGATGCCAGAAAAAACCAGCTGAATAAGTCGGTGCATGAGGGGGCTGATTCCCCAGCCTGGGTCCTGCAGCAAGGCCCCCCATTAACTCCTGCAGAGCTGCAGCTTCTCCCTGTCTGTGTGGGGGCACCCCAATGTTGGATCTGCCAGGGGAAGAGATTCCAGAACATTTCTTCCATCAACGCAGCTCTTCCGTTCCCACAAGGAAAGAGATCAGGAGGAGGAGGATCCCTTGCTGCCTTTCTGCAGGGCTCTGGAGGGGAAGGAGCCAATTGTTGGGGTGAAGCAGCAGCTCAGACATCCTGACAGGACAAACCCCTGAGAGAAACTGCCACTGGAGAGGCTCTTCCCTGCTCCAGGCCTTTATTTCCTTGTGCCACCCTCCTGCTCCCTGCAGCCTCGTGCAGAGCTGCTGGTGCAGGATGAGGCAGGGAGGGTGGCACAGGCACCACGCAGAGCCTAATCAGCAGCCCCATGTCTTTAATTTATTACTGCATGAGAGGCTCGTTTAGAACAAAGCTGCCAGTTCAGGAGATCATTCCTTGAAAAGACTTTTTATTTGAAAAGCTGTCAGCTCACACCTTGTCACAGCCCTACTTGCAGCAGCACAACTTTAATAACATGCCACCTCATGCAAATGAGCTGCTAATTAATTAAGTAGTATTCTTCCGGGGATGGATTCATTAGAATGAAATTTGGGCTGGCGAGGCTGGATTGCTCTGGATGGTGCTTTAAATCAGCAGCATTGTCTTCTCCTGGAGGCCCAGCTCTCCCTCCCATCCAGAGGGAAGCTCCTTCCCATTCCGTGCCCCTGGGAAGGCTCTGCACCCCCTGGTGCTGGAACCACCCCCTGCCAGCACAGGTGAGGAAGGCTGGGACAGCCCCAGGAGCGCGCAGAGGGGATTTCGTTCCTGCTCTCCGTGGGCAGGCTGGAGATGCACTGCAGGGTTGGCTGAACACCCCCAAGCTGCCCTCAGCCCTCTGGGTGCCACAAACGCCGGGCAGGGTCAGTCCCTGCCTTTCCCCACTCTCTGCCCCTCGTTCTCCCCTTTGTCCTGAGCCAAAGCTGGGCTCGGTGTGAGCAGGGACACAAAGGGACACGTGAGAAACCCAAACTGCCTGGCTGGGCCTGCAGGACACCTGGGGATGGAGGAATTGTGAGAGGCATCTGGGAGTGAACACCAGAACAGGGCTGAGTGCTGAGCCTCACTCTGTGATGGACAGAAAACACGAGAGCAAGCCCAGAGCTGCTGTTATTCTGGTGTTGTTCTGGTGTTATTCAGGGCGAGGGAGGCACCAGCTATCTGCTTGTCACAAACCATTTGCAGCTCTTGCCCAAAGCCCCCAAAATAGCCCTGCATCTG